AAATGAACGAATGAATGAATGAATGAACGAGCGAATGAATGTTAATATTCAAATAAAAACAAAATTGAAATTAAGTTATAACACAAACAAACAAGTTCGGTCTTACTTGGCCTCAAGGGCGAGGGCACAGAGGCCAGCGGCCAGAGGCGCACTGGCTGAAGTTCCTGTGTGCTCGGTGGTGCATCTGTGATGGAGGTCTGTCGTTATCTGCAAGTAGGATTCGTCATGGGAATGACCATTCAAAGGAAGAAGACAAAATTGGCGAGTTTGTAAATGAGAAATTATTTTGAATAGGAATCTAATTACTAACAATGGACTTTTCAGCTCCATTTGCCCCGCTGCTGTACGTAGATGCCATCGTCGAAGAACACGGCTCAGAATACCAGGGCACTGTGCCGTGTTCAGACACGCTGCTCACCTGGCGTGTACAATTGCGTACGCGAGTTTCGTGTGTTTGCTGTGTGTACACTGCTGTATGTGTGTGTGTGTGCACGTGTATATGTGTTTGAATGAGTGTGTTGCTATACAACACATGAAAGTAAGAACGCTTGTATGTATGTAGGCAGGTAGGTATGTGTGTGTGTAACTCACCGACAAGGTATATATACTGTTAGTGTAACCATCACAGGCACAACTGTCGCCCTTACTACCGCCATTACCAGAGGCCCACACAAATATGTTGCCCAAGCCATTCCGACCCTGAAGAAAGTTTCCAAATTGAGAAGTGAAATAACACATGAAAACAACGTCAATTATTTTCTCTGTAAGCTTGAACAAACAAGAATCGTTGGCACAAGAATATTGATTGGTATGCAGGATGCATGTAGAAGGCAACAACAACAACACTATCACTAGGGCAACCACTACTACCACTTCAACTACATCTACCACTGCTACCACTACTACTACACCAATGAAAACTGAAACCGTACCGAAACGATCCCATCAAAAATGGCCTTCCTAGCCAGGGTGCCAGGGCCGTCGAGGGCCTGCCCATTGTCTTCAGGACCCCACGAAGCGCTGTAGATGTCGATGTGGTAATTGTTGAGACTCAAGGCCTGCGCCTCCACTGAATCAGTCACATCTCCATCCAACATCCTGACACCTAGAGTACGGTTCGCTCGTTTATTTATTTGGTGGTTACATTTTTTTGAGGGAGGTGTGATTATGTTATTATTATTATTTATTATTATTATTATTGGCTGCAGTAATATTATTGTTTATTATTATTATTATTGTTATTATTATTATTGTTGTTGTTGTTGTTGTTGCAGTTGCCTGTCATTAACAACATAATAATCATTATGTGATATCGTTATATTGATCGCCACTTTCATGCATATCTCAAGCCTGTATGGATTACTTATAATG